TATATGGATATTACATTGATACAAAACTTCTGTGTGCAGACGAATCGTACCTGTTGTACAGAATAGAAGGCGGGTGTTTGCTGATCGTCTGGTGTCGAGACGGACACTGTAGCCCACGACAGAGTCATTTACACCTACTCCAGGTTCACCCATCTCAGCACTTACTCGCGTTGCTATGGAAACAGCTGAGATTCGCCGAGGTTCAGTACAGACGACGAATGGCTGTAAGTCCGGAGTACCATCTATAAATAGCAATGGATTTGAGTAGGCGAATGAGAAAATATCACTACTAAAGTTACATACTCATTCCTCGTGTAACAACGTAAAAGCAACAAGAACTATCTAGTTTTCGACTTGTTTTCAAAAGAAACTATTGACCGCATCTGAATCAGGGCCGATCTGGCCCACTTTGTCGATCATTGATAGAGACACGTAAAGACTATCTCAACCTATCCTTGCATATTTCAGATCTGTTCATGGAACGGAAACATACGCAACAATATCTGCTGCACTATGCACTTGGACAATATCTCCACCAGCTAGCTATTCGTGGCACGTACACATAAACCTACCCAGTAATATCTGCTGTACTATGTACTTGGGTACCTGAGTACTCTTTCCACTACCCGTGGCCCCGGAGACAATGATAATCTGGTTGTCTCTGACAGCGTTGAGAATTACATCCTTCTGACTGAATACTGGCAGACCCTCAGTTACGGAGCTCAGCGACGCAGCTCTTGCGGAGTCCATATTCGTGGACACGATCTAAGTGTAGAGATTTGTATCGGTTCCGGTATTAGATGGTCTTATCTTAGTACATAGATATACAGAATACGTTTCAGTCTATTCACCAACAAACAATTATATATCTACATCAGAAACAGCCCTGATTGCATACGAATCCCTCTTGCAAGGTGCGATTGGTATATCGAGTGGCTGCGATTGGTTATCACACGGACACATGCATGTACATCAAAATATATATATACGTATTTATTTCTCAGATACACTTACATATATGTAAAATTTATACACGTATTTATTTCTCTGGTACACTTACATATACATCCAAAAATCTATAAACGTATATATTTCTCAGGTAAACTAACATATACATCAATATATATATATATATTTATATATATATATATTCGTATTCATTCCTCAAGTACACATATGCTTCTACCACACAGTGATTCATGTGTGTGGTGCTCTTACCTTAGCCAGCTTCTCAGAGATTGCCGGAGTGTGTGGAATGCGACCACGTGAGAGGGTGGCGTCCTCAGAATCATCTGCTATCTCCGTATTCGAACCACTCATTGCTTCTTTAACCACAGCAGGTGTGTCTGGTTTCATTGAAGGGTCTGGGGCTCCTATCTGTTATATATTTTTAAATCATATGCGCAAATGATAGTAAACGTATTTAGAAACAGCCCTCTGCGTTTGTTTCGGTTTTCGAAACTTAGCATAAGCCACAAATGAGATCCAATTCCGAACTATATTCATATACACCCCTATATCCTCATTTTCCTATATACGCCCCTATAACCTCACATTCCTATATACTCCCCTATAACCTCATATTCCTATATACATCCCTATAACCTCATATTCCTATATACACCCCTAAAACCTCATATTCTTATATACACCCCTATAACCTCATATTCCTATATATACCCCTATAACCTCATATTCCTATTTACAACCCCAAAACCTCGTATTCCTATTTACACCCTATAACCTCATATTCCTACACGTATTTATCTATACATCGACGTCCAACATACGGCCCCCGCTGTCTTGGCCGTTATATCCTTCACATGGGTCTTTCTGAGCTCTGCCTCCTGTCTACCTACTTGAGCTGCACTTTAAATCTCCCGGATACTCACACAAATGCAATAGATTCTTTGATTGCAAGTATATCTTTATACTCCATGATGTACATTTACATAATAATTTACACACTTATTCTCCATGATATAAATATACATAGAAATGAACATACATAAACATCTATATATACTCATTCATA